AAGAGGGTAAGATGTGCCCTCCTCTTGTTTGATGTTGCTGAGGTCTTGGGTGAGGGAGCACGGGGTGTTACTGATGAGAGACGGGTTCAAAAGATCTCTCACATGGGTTGTGGCTTTCCCTCTGAATTCAGTGAAAGAAAGCGGCAGTGCTAACCCATAGTGATGGTTTAAGATCAGGCCAGTGGAGAAATCCATTGTTCTGTCTTGCAGGAATAACTCATGCATTAATGTGTAAGTAAGCAATGTCCCCCATAGCAACACCAGCAGCACTAAAACTGATGGTTTCCATAGCAATATGGAGATGCCACAGTGAAAGACAAGAAGCCTGCTTGAGTTTCCCATTGCTTGGGGTAGGTAGATAAGATTAATAACATTTAAATTTAGAGGGAGAAATGAACATAACTATTGGTCTTGTAAGATAGAATTATCAGATATTAAAACAACCCTTAAAAATTGTAGTTATTTGTGATAGCTTTAATTGTCAACTTGAAATAATCTAGAATCACCTGGAAGAAGGACCTCTGAGAATGTCTGGGAGGGATTATCTTAATTATACTAATTAATGTAGGAAAACCTATCCATAGGGGTGGCATCATTCCCTGTGCCTAGTTAGGATCCTGGGTTGCATAAAAATAAAGAAAGTGAATGAGAACTACCAAGTCAGCCTTAGTTCACTGCTGTCTGCTCTTAATTGTGAATGCCACATGACCAGTCCTCAAAATCTCTCTCCTCTGTGAATTGCCTACAATGTGGGCTGTAACCTGGAACTGTAAACCAAAATCTTCCTCCCTTAAATTGTTGTTGTCAAGGTATTTTATTACAGCAACAGGAAATTCAACTAAGACATTACATTAAATGCACTAAGATTATCCTACAGAAGTTTGGAGAATGAGGAAAAAGTACACAGTGAAAACTAAACAAGGAACAAAGACACGTGAATTAGCTCCTATTTTACAGTTTTTATAAGTGAAAATGCATTAGATTCGCTGATCTAATACAGAGACACTCCAACTGACAACAAAGTGTTTCAGCACTATATAATTCAGAAGACTATATTGACCCCAAAGGTGTAAAGAACAACTGACAATAAAATAATTTTTTAAAAAATGTAAGCAGATAATATAACCATTAGAAATCAGAAGCATCAGTCTTACTGCCCCAAACCCCCCCCCAAAAAAAAAAAAAAAAAAAAAAAAAAGACCTTTCAGGGCAGTTCTACATACCTGAAGGGAGAAAGTAGTAAGAAAGTGTAGTGGATTCCTGGACTTCTGTTTTTACTAAGATGAAATTCACAGGAACATTGTGGGGGGGGGAGGGTTGGGGGTTGTGTGGGTGTTTCAGAATTTACAAAATTTAACATTTTCCAGCCCATAAAGGGGCATCAATATGTTTGAAGTAATTGATACCATAATTACTATGACTTCTGGATTCATTGCTATCAATTTGGTAGTCCAAAAAGAAACAAGGAAGAGAGAAAGAAAAAAAGAAAGAAAGAAAGAAAGAAAGGAAAAGAAAGAAAGAAGCAAATTCTTTGAGATTTTCATGTCTCACAACTGAAAATACCTAAACCTTTATCTCAAGAACAAATACTAGGCTGGTGATACAAATTTTCTGGCATTGTTAAGAAGTGTTATATACCCATGGAAGGCCTCACCCTCCCTGGGGAGCAGAAAGGGGATGGGATAGGGGGCCAATGGGGGACAGGGGAGGAGGGAAGGGAGAGGGAACTGGGATTGACATGTAAAAGAAGTTCATTTTTATTTAAATTTAAAAAGAGGGGGAAAAGGAAGTGTTATATGCCAAAATGCATGGATTTTGTAAGTAGTTAAGATAATAGTTGGAAGGAAACTACAGAACTGAATTGACAGTCCAGTGGTAAGAGCACTTGTGGCACAAGCCTGAGAACCTTGGGTTCAAGTCTCCAGAATCCAGGTGCAAAGCTGGCACAGCCACAGGTGCCATCCCCCACTGCAGGAGAATCTCAGGCACTGCTGGCTGCCAGTAATGCCAGCTTTAAGGAGAGACCCTGTCTCAAAGAAATAAAGCAGGCAATGGTAGAGCAGGGAAGGCCACAGTCTATGACAGGGGACAGGTCAGAAACCAAGTTGGCAGGACCCCTCACATCATGGAGCCCTTGGGAGCAAAGGGAATTTAGAAAAGTTGACTCAAATTCCTTTTCACTTAAAAACTAAAACAACAGGCAAGCAAATGAATACCTCAGATTGTTAATATGGAACCTAAACTTACTTTTGCAGGAAGCTTGTGGTGAAACTCTCTTCAAAATAATCATTATGCAAAATCTAAAGGTTATATTTTGTGATCTTGGGTGTTTTGTGCATTGATTTTTCACAAAATAAGAAGAATCGGAACTCTGTTTCTGCCTCCATATCTACTATAACTAGATCATTTTCAGTGTTGACATCAGCATGGCTTTCTAGGGGCTTTTAAGACAAAAGACCAGTACTACCTAGAATTTGACATAAAAGCAGAAGAAGGCCTTTAAACCCAGAACTCAGGAGGAAGAGGCAGGTGGATCTCTGTGACTTCAAGACCCTCTGTCTGTAGCACCAATTGCCTGTGGGCCAAAGGTAAGCCACTTAAACCTGAGAAGTTGAAGACCTTTTATACTCTTTAAAAGGATAATTACCTTGAGGAAATTAAGAGAACCTCGCCACCTGGTGGCACTCATGGTATGTGACAATAAGATGGTCCCTTTTAGTCTGAAGAAGAGCAGGGTCATTGTTGCTTAGAACACCCTGGGCTTTGGCCAGGTCCCCAGTCTGATTAAGCCACAATGGCAGTTTATCTTTATTCTTTAAATGAGGAAGTTTGCTGGGCTGGAACTCAACAAGGAATGGACAGCCCCTGATCCCCTCCCCCTGAATTTATTTCCTTTTCAAACAGGTAAGTATTTGTGCTTTTTTTAATAAAAGGACTCACAATTGTCCAGAAAGTCATCATTCTGGAATACTCTCTGTACTGTTGCTTCCTGTGCCATGGGCTTTCATTTTAGCAGAGGAAAAACTATGTCGGCTTCTTTAAACAAGTCATGGAGTTTAATGTTGCGCACCAACTAAATCTTTGAACATCTAATCACGAGTGTCTGGGTATGCTGTATTTTTAAATATTTAATTTCTAAAGCATAGCATTTGACATTTTGGTAAATATGTGTCCTGCAGGCTGCCTGCTAATTACTTGAGGAAATTAAAATGCACACACAAAACAATCCGTGGGCATCACTCCAAGATTCTGATCCTGTTGGTTTGTGGTTTAATCCAGGCATGAGCATTGTAAAATGCTCCCCAGGACATTCTCAGTAGAGTGACCCTGGGGACTGTGGCTTGCAAACCATATGGAAATAGCAAACAAGGAATGTCTGTGTTCATTCAACACAAAAATTAGAAATCAGACTGCTTCACTAGCCAGTCTGGCAAACAAAAGGGAATGCTGTGAAGTTTCCTATGATAGAGACTTAGGAACCAGGAATTAAAATAGTGCTCAGTTGTTTCTGCCACCTAAAATGTTAAGGCAGGGTGTCACTCAGTTTTGGGCACATGTCTACTGGAAGCAAGATCCTGGGTTAGGTCTTAGCCCTGCCTGCTCCCAAAGTTAAATTGGCTCAATAATCTCAATTTAGGACTCAAAGCATAAGGACCAATGACAAAGAAGTTCATTGTCATTTGGTTTGTAGTGACAGATGACAGAAAGCAATCTGTGCTTAAGATGCTATGGTCTAGTCATTCAATACAGAGTATGCAATGTTTTTATTCTTTTTTTTTTTTTGAAACAGGGTTTCTCTGTGTAGCTTTGGAGCCTATTCTGGCACTTGCTCTGGAGACCAGGCTGGCCTCGAACTCACAGAGATCTGCCTGCCTGCGCCACCAATGCTTGGCTGTTTTTATTCTTTTAAAACATTTTTGTCTGTCCTGCTTATTTTATTGTTAATTAATGTTTTAGCTAATATGCAAAGTAATGGACTTCTCATAACACCTTCATACATATCATTGTTCAGTGCCCTCCACTTTCCTGTCCCTGTCCCCTCCTCTCACTAGCCCCCTTTCTCCCCACCAAATAGTCAGTATTCTGTTTTCATACATATTGTTAAGTCTGGCTTGGCATTTGAGAGAAAGTGTATCTTATCATTTCCTCCTTTCCTGTTCTTCTTTCCCCCATCTTTCCTCTCTCTCTATTATCTTTCTGCTACTTTTGGGAGGGGGGTAGGGTGTGTGTGTGTGTGTGTGTGTGTGTGTGTGTGTGTGTGTGTGTAGAGGTCAGAGGACAACTTGTAAGAGTGAGTTCTCTCTGTCCACTATGAAAGTCGCAGGGACCACACTTAAGTTGTCAGCATTTTTGGCAAGTGCCTTTACCTTCCACCTTAAGTTTTCAAATTTTCTCCATTATTATTTCTCATTAGCTTTCCTTATATGGAAACTTATTAATGCTATTATTAATTTATCAATTCACACACTAATATATCTCATGGAGACACTCATTGCATACAATACTAAATACTGGGGTAGAATTGTAGACTGAATGAATGTGTTTTGCTTTTACAGTGCTTATATTCTAGTGAGAGGAGGCAAACTTTAAAATGGCAGGCATGAAATCCATTTGCTAGTTAGTAAGGGCTTTACTGGAATAATGAAAAAAACAAGCTATCAGAAGTGACAACTATCCATAACCTTAAATTCAAATGAGAGAGAGAGAGAGAGAGAGGATAGATAGATAGATAGATAGATAGATAGATAGATAGATAGATAGATAGATAGAGTCTGATTTTTGTCTCGTGCATTGCCCGTAGAGACCAGAAGAGGGTGTCAGATCCCCTGGAACTGGAGTCAAGGTTGTTAGCTATCATGTGGTTGCTGAGAATTAAACCTGAGACCTCTGGAAGAGCAACCAGTGCTCTTTCCATCTGAGCCATCTTTCCAGCATCCAAACAGGACTAAAAAACAAACAAACAAACAACCCTGTTTCATTAAAACACATCATATGGGGGGTTAGTTTGGGGGTTTTGTTTTATTATAATTATAAAAGAACGTGTCCATCTCCTTTCTTCTGAAAACTTCTCAAAGACTAGTATTGGGGGTGTCCAAACTGTTGGTTTCTCTGGATTACATTGGGTGAAGACATTTCTTGAGCCATTTCATTTCAGAGGTGTTCAACCTGTGACTTGTGAGTTTTGAGACCATAAACACATCTATTTTGTATAACAATGGGACACAATGTTGTTATACACAGGGTTTACACTTGAGAACCACATACTAAGTTACCATAAAAAAATAAAACAGTCACACACACACACATACAATCTCCTAATGTTCAAGGTGAGAGATTCTGTGATTTCTTTCAACACAATATTTTCATTGACTATTTGGAAAATCATAACCCAATCATACTCATTTCCCAGTCCTCCCAGGCCCACCCTCCACTCTTGTGACCCCCCCCCAAAAGTCCAATGTGTGTTTCCCATATACTTATTGGAATATGGTCAAACTCCCAAGGTCACCCCTTCAAGAAAACTGAGTCCTTCCCCACACATACCAACAGTAGTCATCAGTGGAGAGCTATACATCAGCATCCTTATCACAATTTTTAATAGTTCTCTTCAACGGATGGCTTCCTGTCTAGGCTGTTAGTATATTTGGGTTGTGGGTAGAAGTTATCACAGAAACTTTCTATGTCCTTCTTTCTAACTGTGATTCTTCAGTCATCCATACCACTGCAAAAGTAGCTTCCTTGCCCTGTAAAGTCAGCAGGAGCATGGAGCATGAACTTCTGCATAGTATCTGGAGACACCACAAACCAGAGTCATCACCCTAGATGACTGGGCATTTTAGAACTCTGATCTTTGTAGATCATTTAGTTAATTAAAAAGGCTCCAAAAAAGCTGGCTTCTTGGTCCAAGTCCATCAAATGCTCATTTGTCACAGAAACAAAGATCCTGTCGTTTTCTTTCAGCTCAAACAGTCCCCCTTGATAGATAGAATACAGTCCGTATTCTGCATCTCTGGACCAGCAGCTGTTTCTGGCACTTTTCATCAACATGATGGGGTCTGGATAGCTGGTGTATTTGTAGATGTACTGTACCATTTGCTTGTTTTGGCCTCTATTTGAGACCATCTTGGAAGAGTCTTCATTCTCTCGAAACCGGAAGTATGTCTGGGAATAGATGTAATAAAGGCCCTGTTCCTGGATGACCAGCTCTCCATTTCTCAAAAGCAAATAGTTGAGGAACGAATGCCCTTTCCTAGATGACTCCCATGATTCTATCTTCTGGCCCAAGGTCTTTCCATCCTTGGGCACTGCATGAAAAGGAGAGAAACAGGAGGAAGTTTGCATCACAGTGAGGAGCTACCCCAGCTGCTCAGCACAGTCAGTATGTTCATTGAGTTTACACATTCAATGTCGATCCAAAATCAACTTCTTAACCTTTTAATCTGACATGAATTACAAAGGCTTTTGTAATCACATCGAATCTGGGAGGCTCCTCTATCATTTTGACCTGTTGTAATTGCCTCACTTTTCAGTACCTCATTTATCAACTAACTATGCTACACCCCCACACAGCAAAGCTTGGCGGTTCCTATGGTTCAAAAGTGTCCCCGTGATGGGAGATCCTAGTGCCTTGGGTGAAAGTAAATGCTGTGCATTCGACCTTTTGAGGAGAAGGAAGAGTTGATACAAATGGACACACACACACACACACACACACACACACACACAGAGAGAGAGAGAGAGAGAGAGAGAGAGAGAGAGAGAGAGAGAGAGAGAGAGAGAGATTAAAGATGAAAAAAGGTTGGGTAGTACCTGCCATCCCAATCCTTGGGGGCCTGAGACAGAAGGATCTGGAGTTCAAAGCCAGCCTAGGCTCCATGAACCACTGTTTCAGCAAAAGAAGAGAAAGAAAAGAGTAGTGGGGGAAAAAGGGGGGACTCAAGAAGCCGCAAAGGCAGCAAAGGTGGCTCAATGGGAGTCTGAGAACAACGTTCTCTCACACACACTTTTCCTAAGACCAGCTATGCCAGGAGAGTTACCAAGCTCCTTGCGTGTCCTTTTGTTTCTCAAAACAGTCATCTGATACTTGATCGTTGTTGAGCACTTATAGTCATAGAAATATTTCAGATAAAAGTTAAAAATAAACTAGTTGGAACAATTCCAGAGCCTCAGGAATGCTAGGTGTCATCCACGCCCCACTGCCAAACCCAGCCTCAACCCCAGCCCAAGCCCCAGCCACACCCCAACCTCTGCCAGCTCCACCCCCTGCTCCAGCCCTCAAGATCTTACTCAGAGTTAAGGCTGAGCTGCTTCTCCGACTGATTCCGGTAATGTGGGCTGCCACTCTCTGAGGTTTCCTACTTCTGGGCGGGAAAGGAATACTTAGCTGCTTTTCTAAAAGACACAGAGAAACATCAGCACTTGTCAGAATGGTTCTCAGACACTCTGCCCTGCTCATACACCGCTGTCATAAAATAGCCTGTATAGCGGAGCTGGAGAGGTGGCTTGGGGTGAAGAAGAGTGACCTGGGTTTGAGCCCACCATCCATATGGCGCCTCACAACTGTAACTCCAGTTCTAGAACAAACATGAGGGGCTGAGTTTGGATTCTCAGCTCCCACCTAAAGACCCAGGCACTGCCACATGCCTGTATCCCGAGGTGAGAGCAGTGGGGAGGAGTGAATGGAGACAGAGGGTCACTGGGGTTACCGCTGCCAGCTAGCCAAGGGTCTCTCTGTGACAGACATCTAAAGAGAATAGGCAGAAACTGTTAGAGGACACATGACAGCCTCTTCTGGCCTCCCAAAGCAGGCATGCGCACCTGCACACACATAATGTAAATCCTGTACGATCATGTCTTTCAAAACTTAGCTTCAAAACCTCATTTCTGCTCACATGTGGTTAAGATAAATTGCATTTTATCTGCAAACAAATATTGGCAAGAACAGGAAATTATACCACACTATTCATAGCTATATAGATTAGCCATTGATTCCACTGAGTCCTTGAAGAACTTGCTATATTTTATGAGATACCGATGAGAAAATAAAATAATGATTTATGAGAAGTAAAGATGGGAGTTAGCAGATTGGAGGTCAGGGAGGGTTTGCAGAGGAGATGGTGTTAAGACATTTTCAGTCATGTATTCCTGTAAGCCCAACTGCGCACCACATCTACCCCAGGCACCCTCCCAGGGACAAGGAGAAGGGTCACAAACAATCAAGAAACAGAGGTGCACAGATAAGTAGGGATAGAAGAGAGGCATTTGCAGAGAGCTAAAGCTGAGGCCGAGGGCAGAAGACAGGCCTGGGAGCTAGCTGTTCAGGTCTGACTTGAAGGAAACAGAACACAAGATTTTATGTTTTTCAGGGCTGGAGAGATGGCTCAGTGGTTAAGAGCACTGCTTATTCTTCCAAAGGTCCTGAATTCAATTCCCAGCAACCACGTGGTGGCTCACAACCATCTGTGATGAGACCTGGGCCCTCCTCTGGCCTGCAGGCAACATGCAGGCAGAACACTGTACACATAATAAATAAATAAATGTTAAAAAGGAAAAAGATTGCTTCAGGCTCACTTATGTCAAGGTCTAGTTTGATGAGCAGAGGATGTGAAGTTGAAGGGTGCTAGGCAAGTTACAGGGTTGAAAGCACTGGTCCATCTTCCAGGTTGGAAGCTCAGGGAGAAAAACCAGGCAATAAAATTTCATAACTAGGCAGTGAATGAAAAAGAAGACATCACTTCTAAAATCTGGTATTGGTTATAAATCACAGTTAATATTGTTCTTGTTATTTTAGGAAGATGTGTCTTCTTGAAGCAAAAATCTCCTGAGAGCTTCCAAGGAACTTGGTAAACTCTATGTGGTTTGGAAATAAACAAAGTGGAGAGGGTAGATGAATGGAGAGAGTAGCTGGGAGGATGGATAGATGGCTATGTAGCTAGAGAGTTGTCATAGTGTAGATTGCTGGGGAAGAGGGGAGATGATTGACTTATACACTCTGCCTTCTGCTATTCTATTCACCCAGATCCCAGAGGTCTAGAAACCATGCAGAGACTTTCCTCTTTTCTTTCACTTTATTAGCATATACACAAAATAATGTGTTTCATTGTAACATTTTGTCTTTTACTCATATTGACTCCCTTCACCTTCTTGCTCCTTCTCCCTCCTCCCACTGGTCCTCCCCCTCTTTGCAAATAATCCTCCTTCTACTTTCATGTCTTTTTATTGGCATATATTGTATAAAGTAATGAGTTTCATTATGACACTTATTTTCAGCGATATAACTTAATGCTTATTAGAGAAAATTAGTAAACAACACAAATTGGGTCACAAGGTCTAATAAAGTGTTATCCCAGTGCTGTGTCCTAATATTCTCCACAAAAACATCCAGGCAAGTGCAACAATATCCTGAAGACATGACTGTTATCAGTTTACCAAATATTATGACTTAAACTGCCCCTTAAAAATATACTGAATAGCACTAAAATCACAGGAACCAGTTTCCAATTTCCAAAGTATTAGGACAAAAAGAAATGGCTTCCAAAGTGCTTACAATAGCTGCTTCGGGACCATAGCCACTCTGAGTAAATGCTACTTAACTTGGAAGATAATTTTTAAAAATAGTTCTCTCTCTCTCTCTCTCTCTCTCTCTCTCTCTCTCTCTCTCTCTCTGTGTGTGTGTGTGTGTGTGTGTGTGTGTGTGTGTGTGTGTGTGTGTGTGTGTGTGTGTGTGTTTTGTTTGGGGTTTTGATACAGGATTTCTCTGTGTAGCCCTGGCTGTCCTGGAACTTGCATTGTAGACCAGGCTGGCCTAATATTCAAGGAAGCAAGCTTTACAACAACAACGATAAGGATTTTATTCTTCTGCTGTTGACTGCTGGGTCCAAAACTATGCCTGGCTCATGGGGAGGGGTCCAATACTTCCGTTGGATGAGTAAGTTGCACATAAATTTCCCTTAAGTACTGAAACTACAGGCATTATTTAAAATACGTATCCTCTGGCTACAATCATATTAATTCAACAGTTAAAAACAGGTTGAACACACATTTCTATTTTAGGGAGGTCAAGGGATTAAATGGAAAAGTTAGACGTTTGGAACTCCACTGCTGGAAACCTTATCTTCTGTAGTAGTTTTCAGGGTTTATTCCAGAAACCACATTCTTGACATCTCAGCAGAGAGTCGGGGCTAGAGGCACACGAAGGATGAAGAACCAGAGACACACCCCACCAGGAGTGCTTGGAAAACCCTTTCGGGTCATCCCAGACTGCAGGTCACTCAACTTGGTTCTGCTCACTCCTCCCAGCTCTGCTGGAGCCTCTCTGCTCCTGGCCTTGCTGGCCTCCATAGCCTTCTCTCTCTCCCTCTTACAGCTCTGCATACCTGAGAGCCACTGGGCTCCGCACTTCTGATACAGTTATGACATTTTAATACATGTACAAAATATATTTTGATTAGTTCCACTCCTCATTGCCCTTAGTTGCTCCCCTCTTCCCATTGAACCAACCCTTCTTCCCAGATGGTTTCCTTTCCTTTTCATCACTCCTTTGTCTGTCTCTCTGTCTCTGTTGCTCTCAACCTAGTTTCCATATGTGGGAGAAAACCTGTGGGTTTTTTCTCTGAGTTTGTTTTATTTTTGCTTAACACAAAGTCTCCAGGTCCATCCATTTTCCTTCAAGTGACATAACTGTTCTCCACGTGGAAGAGTCTACTGAGCATTTGCAACAATTCTCTTTCTCCATCCACTGATGGGTAGCTAGGCTGCTTCTGTGACTTGACCATAGGGAATGGTACAGCCGTGAACAACAGTGTGTAGGGCTTACTACAGCAGACAGATTGAGTTCTTTGGGTGTGTTTCCAGGGATGGTAGAGCTGGGCTGTGTCATGGGTCTATTTTTAGATTTCTGAGGAACCTCCACCCTCATTTCCACAATAGATGAACAAATCTCCACTCCTGCCTATAGTGTATGGAGGGGCTCCCTGGCACTTCCAGTGTTTGTTTTATTGTTTTTATGATACCCATGATGACTGCGGGGTTGGGGGTGGGGTAAGATCATATAAGATCTTTATCTCTCCTTTTCTTTGTGTGTGTGGCTGTGTGTTGTATATGTATACATGGAGGGTACATGTATCATGTGCCCATGTGCAGGTCAGCGGAGGATGTCATGTGTCTTGCTCTGTTTAATTCTCCACTTTGGAACCTGGAGCCTTGCTGGTGGCTGCCCATCTCTTTCCCTAGAGTGCTAATAGATGCAGCCATGTGTGATCATGCCCGGCTTTGTGTGTGAGGGAACTTATACAGCAGGCACTCTCACCCCACTGAGATATCTTTCCAACTCTCTCTTGAGACAGAGTTTCATACAGTTTAAGGTGGCCTCACATTTCTTTTGTAGCTGAGGTTAGCTTTGAGTTCCTGATCCTTCTGTTTCCACTCACAAGTGTTGTGAGTGCCCAGCTTCTCTTTGATTGATATTTGCGGAACATAGTAGTCTGTTTTAAGCACTGCATAAATTTATCTCTCTGTCTCTGTGTGTGTATGTTTGCTGCAGCATGCATGTGGAGATCAGAGAACAACTTTTGCAACTGGTTCATAGTGTATGTCCTAGGGATCCAACTTAGATCATCAGTAACTTTACCAGCGGAACCATCTTGTTGGCTCTAGATATAGTGGTCTTGGTTGGCAGTTACTTTATTTCAGGTCTTGAAAAGCATCAGCCCTGATTGCCTGAGGCCAGTTCAGGGTTTCTGCTGAGAGGCCAGCTGTTACTCCAATAGATTCGTCTCTGTAGGTAACTTGGCACTTTTTTCTTACAGATTTCAAAGTTCTTAAACATTTTGCAAATGTGTGCGATGCCTTGGGCAAGAGCTGTGGTAACCTCTGCATCATTCCAATGCCAGCATGGCTGCTGAAACAGGCACACAACTGTGAATTCCTAAGAGTAACTGCATGTTGGGAAGGTATCAAAGACTAATGTGATGTGGAGCTGCAGAGTCAATTACACTTTAGTTTCAGGGTGCTCAACTGTCATGGTTGATGTGTCCGTGCACCTACTATATTTGCTACATAACTCATGGCTCACCTGCACCTACCCCTTAAAACTTCGCTTTTAAATTTTTAGTAGACAAGTCCAGTTTACATTTAAGATCATTCCAAGGCTATAGAGATTTGGGAGCAAAAATTTTAACGTTAATTTTCTTATTTTACATATTCGTTTTTCATGGTACAATGGTTTTGTGTTCCATTAGAACATTTTCATGCAATACACACTGTACACTGAGCCGATTCCCCCATCCCTATTCTCCCTAATTCCCACCACCTGATAGTTACTTTTGTTCCGTAGATAGTTTCGCTTCTATTTTCATGTCATATACACATACATAATTTTGTGTCTTTATATAAAATCTAGGATCTACCCATAAGAGAAAGCATGTAAACTCATGGGATGAGCTTACCTCACTTAATCTCTCTTCTTGTATCCATTTCCCCACAAATGGTGTAACTTCATTCTTTATAGATGAAAAAATTCCATTGTCTGACATGTTCCCTTCCATTCCTCTGTCATAGGACACCTAGATTGATTGGTACCACATTTACCTATTTTAAATAGAGCACCCATGCAAGTGTGTCTGTGGTGGCTTGATGTGGTGTCCTTTGTGTGAACACTGGCTCATGTGAGGGTTAGCTTTATCGCTTTGATGACCACCATACTTGCTACCATATGGGCTGGATTCTCTATTTCCACCAGCAGTGTATTAGGGTTCCCTTTCATCCACATCTCCAGCTTTGCTTGCTGTTACTTAAGACTAACTGCCATTTTGACTGGGGTGAGATGAAATGTCAGAGTTTTCATTTACATTTCTCTGATGCCTAGTGAGGTTGAATATTTATTTCCTGTGTATTGGAAATTTTGGCTCATCTTTTGATAACTGTATGTTCATTTATTGATCAGGTTATGAGTTCTTGTTCTGTGGTCTGAGGTGTGTGTGTGTGTGTGTGTGTGTGTGTGTGTGTGTGTGTGCTGGCATTCTAGATATTAGCCCTCTGTCATGTGTGTAGCTAGCAAAGATTACCTCTCATTTTGCCGTTTGTCTGTCCCTTCAATAAACTATCTCCTTTGCTGTACAAAAGTGCTTTAATTTCATGAAGTCCCTTTTGGCATCTGTGTGAGTGACTGGAGCCCTTTCCAGAAAGTCCATATCTATGTCTGTGCCTCTGATAGTTATCTCTGATAGTTTCAGCATTTCAAGTTTTACATCAAGGTCTTCTGTCCATTCTAAATTGTTTATCTAGTTCTATTCTTCTCTGTGTGTATATGTGCATCAATTGTCACATTGAGGTCTCCCATCCATTCTTAGTTATTTGTCTAGCTCTATTCTTCTGTGTGTGGATATGTACATCTTTTGGTGAAGAGATTTTTATCCAAAGTGAACTTTGATATCTTTGTCAAGAATCAAGTATCTGTAGCTCTGTGGGTGATGACTGCTTCCTTTGTTCCATTTCAATGAGCTACCTGTCTGTTTTTTCATCAGTGTCATGCTGTTTTGTTGTTATGGTTCTGTAGTATAACTAGAAATCACCACCAGTATTATTCTTTACACTCAAGATTGCTTTGGCTATCTGGAATCCTACATGTGCCAATATGAATTTTAAGATTGTTTTTTCTATGCTGTGAAGAATACCATTAAGATTTGGCAAATACTTTATTCACAGTTACTTTAATGTAATGGAAAAGAAGATAGTAAGTACATGGATAAAATTATGTCTAAAATACAATGAGACAATCAAAAGAAGTGTGATGGAAATAACAAAATGCAGGGGAACTTACTTATAAATGTTCCAAGAAGAGAAATTTGTGAGCTAAAGAGCTGTGAAGTAGTGAAAGGAACTCTGGCCAGGGGTGGGGAGTCCAATGGAAAGTTAAATAAGCCAGCCTGGGTGAGGATACAATGAGAACTGGTGTGAAGAAAAATCTGCTGGCTATTAGCAGGATGGTAAGCATGTGGACTCTGGTAGAAACCACAGCTGAGATCATGGGTAGATATAGAGTTTGCTGGGGAAGGAGTGATGCAGTGAGGGGCTTTTAGGGGGAAAAAGACATTGTGGTCAGAGGCAGAAAAGATGAGTAACTTTTAGAGGATTTTCTCTCTTTTACTTCCTGCCAAGTTATAGATAATATTTAACATGACTTATTTATAGTATATTGGTAAGCAAAATAATTAAATAAGTGAAGACATTGAAGTCAAGGGAAACTTCATACTGGAAAAAAAATAAGGTAAAGAAAGAATGAAGTTCTGACCTTGAGTAGGCTGAGACGTTAATCCTGAGCTTTCCAGTCCTCAGTGCAAAGCGAATCAATAAAGAGGGTAAGACAGTGGGCAAAGAGGTCCTAATTGGTATGTATGGATAGGAGCAAGGAGGGACTGGAAAGCTATTCAGCTTGTGAAGTAGACACTAGCAAGTAAAAATGACAACAAAATATCACTACCTTGAACTGTAGTCATGGTTTCCTCAACAGTTCTCAAAGTCACCTACAAATAATATTGAAAAAAAGCTTGTTAATGTGCCTACAAATTTAACAGAATACACATGCTTCTAGATTTTCTTTCTGCCATGGGACAGGATATTTTTACAGTGTATCAATATAGAACTTCTTTTACCCAAGCATAGGTATTTGGGGGGATCTGGGGTGGATCTTCAGATACCATGACCAAAGGAAAGTCTGAAAGCTCTGGTTGTCACTTGGAGCAGCTGAGAAGGAAGGGCACCACTACTCCTTAGGTCAGTCATAGATCTCCATGAAGCTGATGATAACCATGTCCCTTCGCTCTCTGTGGAGCATGTGTGTATGTGTGTGCCTGCGCGAGCATGTGTGTGTGTGTGTGTGTGTGTGTGTGTGTGTGTGCCAAGCAACTGAAAACAAATAGCTAAATCTGAACCGTAGGATGTATGCAAGGCGCAAGGCATAGCTGGCCACAGATATGTTCACTCTATGAATGTCTGAATTGGTATCACCATGTTATTCTCTATTTTTGATAATGTTAAGTTCATGCCCAAAGAAATGATACCAAGGTCCCGTAACTTGCTAAACTTCTTATGACATCCCCCTCCCTTTGTGGTAACCAATGGAGAAAACCAGTACAAAAAGGAACACTGAGTCTTTCTGTTTGTGGAGCAGAGCCTCTCTTGAATCATTATGACTTCTGAACCCCCATTTATCCCTTGTCACTCTGGATTTCTGTGCCATCACTGCCACATCACTGCAAATGTCAGAAACACATCATCTGTGTGCCTGTGCCAGAAAGTGGAAGCTCTCTTTCTTCCTCTGCTTCGACTCTACCCTAGTTGTGACCATTCACTGGCTTTGGTCCCATGGGCTCTGGAGACGGGGCAAGGAGTAAAAGTGGATTTGAACACCCCTCTCTTTTCTGGTTTTCCTTTTTCTCTTATTCTAGGACAGGAAACAAGGGAGGAAGATGGAGAAATGAAAAGAAGGAAGAGAGACAGGGAAGGAAAGGAAAGAGAAATAGGAATAGAGAGAGGAAGAAAGCAAGAAACCGAGAAAGGCTCATTCTACAAGAATGACTACAAGCAGGTCAGGTGACCATGAGTCAAGGCTTCTCTACAGCTCAGCTCCTTAGGCAGTCTTAAGTAACTTAACTGATCTGACCTGCAATGGCTTGTCTGTTTGAAAATGTGTTTAAAAGCATAATGGTGATTCCTTCCCTGGGGGACTACTCTCTGAATTCAATGGGCTGCTGTTCAAAATGGACCGATGTTTACAGGACATAGAAGGCTTGTCATGCCTAGAGCAGGATAAGGACTCCTCTTCTCACACACTCACATCCACCTGCTGTGTCCTCTCCCTCCCAATTTCTCTCGACTCTGGTTGTCCAGGATGAGTCTGGGAAGATGAGCAGGAATTATTGCAAAGTGACATGGAAAATCCATTATCACCATTTCCTTTCCTCCATGGTTGACCCTTGCGGTCACTAGCACCCCAGCCTCTAGTGTTTGTGCCTGCTAACACCCCAGCCCCCAGACTTAGTGCCCCCTAGCATCCCAGCCTCTAGACTGTGTGCCCACTAGCACCCCCGCCTCCAGATTAGTTTAAGTTTCTTTTCCTGATGACCCACTGAACCTCAAAGTCAAGAGCTTGGGAAGTCCCATGTCTGAGGTTCCTCGAGAGCTGTCCAAAGCTCTAGAGGCTTTTCCGAGATCTCCTATACAGTAACCTTTACAGATGTTTCTGCACAGCTGTTGGCAATGGTACCCAACCCAGGAGCACTCACAGAATGTCCAGGTGGAAGACTAATTCATTTGGCTTAGAAGCTACATTCCAGGTGATGTATGGATGCTACTGTGAATACCGCTCAAGTCACCCACTGGAACCCTGGTCTTCGGAACAGCACTGTTTCTGTGGTTGTCTGGCATACAGCCTCCTCCCACCATATCCTTAGACGGTGATGTCATGTATGGTGTTTCTTAGCTTACAGAGTATTTTTAATATTGGTGCCTCCATCTGACCTTCTCAGAAAGGCAGAAGGCAAATATTTATAAATGCCAGCTTCCTAAGAAGGATGCAGGCAGAGAAGAAATTGATCTGACTTAATCTAAAAGTAAAATCAGTTAACCACATTCAGTAAAATGAACTGTTAGCCAACCTGAGATTTCTGTCAGGGATCCCAGTGAAGCAACTTTCATCAACAGATGCATTTTCTAACTTGTCATTTGTTGACAATGAATTGAGATGACCTCATCTCCAATTTCTCCAAGTATTCTTCTACACACACACACACACACACACACACACACACACACACACACACACAAAATAAATGTATTTATCAGCCATGTGGGATGAATAGAAGACATCATCATTTGGCCTCTTTTGTCTTCTGAATAAGAGTAAATAAAAACAAACAAACAATGAGACACTGGGCAACCCTGAGCACATGCTGTCTGTGTGTGTGTTCCCAGAGTAAGATGCTAACTCCAGGAAGCAGCTGACTAAAGTCAGTCCCGGCTTTCCTTGCTGCCTAATATCAGGTATTACACCATGTTGGGGAAAATCACTTAAGCCTTCTGGGACTTGGTTTCTTCTTCTGTAAAATACAGATTTCCAGATTTGAAGGTCTAAAATTCTTTGTCCCCTGGCCACAAGTTCCTGCTGAGTTGTTACCTCTTCAATGAGCTGATACAGCTGCTTCTTAGTCTGCAGACAGTGTCGGATCTCCTCTTCAGTGGGGCTCCAGGAATCCTCATCCTCCTCTAACAGGCAATCCAGTCCACTTCTGAAGTGTTTGTTCTGCAGCTGGGTGGAGATAGGATATAATTGTGGTGAATATGTCCTTTTTCTTGTTACCCATTTGGAAGCTGAAAGAACGAAAAGTGATGAAAATTGACAGGAGGTTGGGTGCCATGAGTAGTTTTTGTTTGTTTGTTTGTTTTTGTTTTTTGTTGAAATTATATTCTTTATTAATAGTTCAATAAAAGATCTAGAAAATAAAAAATACAACTTCTAAAACTTAAAACAGAGAAAACTAAAATTGAACAAGAACCTGTAACGATAACTCTTTCTGCCAGCTGCCTGGGTTCTGCTGCCACTTCAGGGCCTCCATATACACACAGAGTCTTATATTAGTTAGCCATGAGTAGTTTGAGGTTTAAATGAAAGTAGGCATGCTGCCCATTGTCCATCGATGCTAACTAAGCAGTTGGATATGGTAGCAGGGTATAGGACTAGCCAGGCACACTGGCTCACGGTGCTCTCTGCTGACCCACCCCTAGCAGCTGTGTGTCACCGCTCTTGCTTTCCCTTGCTTGCACTTGTTTCTCATTAGACCTTTGTGGTAATGAGTTTTCTTACGACTCTCCCTCCAAGGCTGGAAAGCTGCCTATGTCCAAAGTAGGGAGAGGAATCCATTTTAATGTCCACATCCTTAACAAAAGCAACCAAGCCTTTGGTGTATGGAAAATGTTCTGCCACTTCACCACAGCCCCTGCAGCTGAGTAGATGGTTCCACGACACCACTAGGAATCTGTACCCTGTCTCATCAATGGGTCACAAAGCCTAGGGACTGATCTAAGGAGACTATGCATGCTGAAGGTGTTTTGCCAGGACTGGAAGCCAATGTTTACAATAGCCTCATAATTGCCAACAAAGTCCTTACCCTTGTCAATGACCACTACCTAATACCTACCACATGGCTCCTATTAACCATCCAGAACATTCTCATACCCCAGGCTGTTACCAAATCAGGAAAGGGAGGAGCACAAAGGAAGAGGAGGAAATAACGGTTCAAGGAGTGGGAGGAAGCAGTCTTCACAGATATTTTTTCCTCTTTCAGCTTTGGTTTTGTTTTCCTAGTAGCTTGGATTATCAACATGTTATTTCTCAATGCCTGTTGACATAGACCTGTAAACTCAGCTAATTGGGATGTTGAAGCAGGATTACAAGTTTAAGGTTTGCCTAAAGAGTACAACTAAGGCCAGTCTGACAAATCAAACAAAACAGAAGAAAACAAAAACAGAGGGTTGGGGTCTAGCTCATTGAAAGAATGCTTGTCTAGCATGTGTGACCCTGGGTTCTAACCCTGTCACTGCAAAGAAAAAGTGACATGTTTTCTTATTAAAAACATCTCTTGATTTGCCTTTAACTGGGGTAATTTTGAAAAGTCATTTGTTGTTGTTGTTGTTGTTTGAGACAGGGTCTCACTATGCAGCCCTAACTGGCCTGGAACTCTATATGTAGAAGAAGCTGGGATCAAACTCACAGAGTTCCACCTGCCTCTGCCTTCTGAGTGCTAGGAGTAAAGGCATGCACCACCATGCCTAGCCTAAACATGATAACTTTTATCTATTATTTAAACTTGATGTACTGTAAAGTTAGGGGTGGTGATAAATTTAACAACCCACACTTCCTATAGAAAAAAAAATCTGCTGATTGAGTGATTGATTGAGATAGGTGCATATAGTCCAGATTAGCCTCACACTCCCTCAGTAACCAAGGATAGGCCTGAATTTCTGGTCCTCCCATCTCTACCTCCCAAGCTCTGGGGTTACCAGCATTCCACAGTTCTCGTTTTATATGGTGCTGTGTATTGAACCAGAGCTTTGTACTTGCTACACAAGGATTCTAGATCTGAACTACACTCCCAGGCCAAGCCATCTCATTTAAAAAATCCATTATTCATAAGATGTCCTATTCAGAGCCACATAGCTCTATACTCAGCAATGTACCTCTAAGCAAAAGTACAAACCTGAGTTAATGAGTTGATTCTATATGTCTTCAAATAGATAATTTGTTCACTGTTTAACCCAGATGAGCACCCTCAGAGATCTCTGTGGCCTATCGGAACACTAATGTCCTCAGAGAAGTTTGTTTCCTTCTTTCCTAGCAACGGCTTATCTCAACAGGAGCCTGGAAGGCTAGGACCCAGGTCAAGAAGGAGCTGCTGTGACTGTATTTGTTCAGATAAGATGGTGTCTAACTGTCCTGTTTTAGCCGAGGTGGAGGGTGAGAAGTACAAAGTATCCAGGAAAGCAAGTCAGCCCAGCCCATAGCAGAAAGCTGCCTGCTGTCCAAAATACCTTCTGGGACTTTCCAGAAACGTTTTCAGGAGGTGGGAGAGGAAATCTTGATTGAGTCCAGTTCTGTGCGAAGGTATACGAGTTAATGAGATTAAATATTACACAAATGGTAATGAAGCTGGAAGTGCGACTCAGTGCTAGCAATAAAAATAAAACAAAATAAAAACTTTGGGAAGCCTAGACTCATTCAGAAGACGTGGAAAAGAAAAGGACGCTTTCATAAAGGTAACTGCAAATTCTGCCCCTAACTGATATTACTCTGAGACAAAACCAAAATGCTATGCTGAAAATACCAGTCCCGCATGCACCTGAGCTCCACTCGACCCTCTGTGTGCATGGCTGAGACCAGACTGTCATGTGTGTTTTCTCTTGCAGTTCATGAAGTGGCATGCCCTTGAATTCAGAGGGCGTAGCTCAGTGGAGGAGTTCTTGCTTTTCTTGCCCAAGTTCCTGGATTCTAAGCATTGCAAACCTCAACAAAAACCATATCTGCCAGCTTAGATCATTTTTATGACCTTTGCCACAGCAAATTTATAAAAAATTTTTTAAAAAGTGAAAATGAGAATCAACTTTATCCTACCCTCTAGAGATCACAATTGTCAGCTTTTTGTGTTGGTCTTGCTAGACATTTTTATGTGTAAGTAATGATTTCTGAACAAAAGAAATGCAGGGAGGAAGCCTCAGCCCCCGCTCCCCGGTCACCTTCAGCACCTGCAGGTGCTAAACCAATGTTGGTCACAGATGGTGAGTGACTAGTGTCGAGCACTTTGCTGTCTCTCTCCCTCCACATCCTTATTCCACCACTTCCTTTCTTCCTCAGGAGACATGCCTAAACAAAGAGATTCTGTGCTTTATTTGAAATTGCTGCAATTTTTTGGCAGAGTTTTGAAAATCTTAATTACAAAATCAGACAACTACATGAGTCAACAGAGGATCAGGTCAATCTTAAAATAAGGCCAACTTGCAATGTGTGCAAATTGTGGAGCCACCTGTGATAGAGATACAGTCTCATTCTGTTTATGCAGCAAAGTTAACAAACTTTAGGGCATGCTGCCACAAATCAGTAAACATAGCTATGCTCCTATGTAAACTTAGAACTAAAAAATGATTACAGGTATACATTTTTTCTCTCAGACGTATACAAACTTGGGGCCAGCAAGATGACTCAAAGGACCAAAGTATTTTTCATCAAGCCTGATGACCTGAGTTCAATCCCCAGGACCTACAAGGTAGAAGGAGAGAACTAATTACAGTTCTCATTCCTCATCAGATACATGTCCTTGTATGTAGGACAGCAGTTATTGCAGGGGCTCACAACTGGTCAAAATTCGAAGAATAAATGTGGAGCACTCAGACACTACAGGGCAATCTGCATCACTCCCTCACCTCAAGTTTCAGGCAACTCTAGGGAGGGGCTTAGGGGATATCTCAGTCAATTAAAGGCCTGCTGTGTAAATGTGATGGCCCAAGTTAGGTCGCCAGAAGCCTGGGACTCCAGAATCAAAGACAGAAAGATCCCTGGGGCATGCTGACAGTCAAGTCTAGCCAAGTCAGGGAATTCAAGGTTCAGTGAGAGACCCTGCTTCAGAAAAGTAAGGTGGGGGTAACTCAGGAAGACATCTGACATTGACCTCTGATCTACCTCACATGCTTCTCCCCTCCCCTTCCCTGTCTCTCTCTCTCTCTCTCCCTTAATCTCTCTCCCTCTGTCCCTCTCTTTCTCTCTCCCTTTCTCCCTTTCTCCCCCTCCCTTCCTCTCTCCCTCTTTCTTCTTCCCTCTCTCTCCTTCTCTCCCTCTTTCTCCCTCCCTCTCTTCCTCTCCCTCTCTCTCTCTCTTTCTTACTCACCCACTCTCTCTCTCACACACACACAAAAGGAACTCTAGAGCATTTGCAGAAAGCTTTTGTGCATGGAAACAATACTAACATCGTGAAGTACAGACACTTTTGAAAGTGAAAACAAACTTCCTAAGAATGCTATTGCCTGTTCTGTAACTACAGCTGCTTGGAAGTCTTTCACACTTGCTAATTTATAAAGTCTCATCAGGAGTAGTTAGAGTCTGCAACCAGAAAGGGCACATATAAATGCACAGCTAAGTTTTCAAAGAGGAGAAAGCTGAGAGGCAAAGGAGGAACAAGTGCTGCTTAGACCACCTCACAACTAACCTGCTTCATCTGGTTAGTGAAGTACACATAAGTCACAGCCATAGACAGCGTTTGCAGGAGCATTTGTAGGAGCACTGTGCAGAGCACCATCACCCGGAAGTGCTGGCCAAAGCTGGGATCCTTCAGGGTCCCCATGGAGGGCATGGTCCTGTCCAAGTCTGACTCCCCAGAGCAACGGTGCAGCCCAGAAGCAAGGAACTGAAAAACCAGTTAAAGCAGTAGTCTCTTTTCATTGTTGAGAGCAAAAGTGAAACTGATTATCACTGGGCGTGGGGGTGGGGGTGGGGGTGGGGAAGGACATTTAAGGAAGCCTTTCCACTATTGCTTAGATTGTCAGTTGGTGGCATCCTTGTAGATCTCTGGAAATCTCCCTAGTGCCCAATCCTCCTCAAATCTATAATGGCTCCCTCTATTATGGTATCTCTCAACCTGCTCTCCTCTATTCTTCCCTCAACTCAGCCTTCCTGCTCCCCCATTTCCTCCTCTTACCTCCTCTCCTCCCCCCTTTCTCTCTCCCAGCTCCCCCCCCAACCATGTTCCCAATTGGCTCAGGAGATCCTGTCCCTTTCCCCTTCTCCGGGGTACCATGCATGTCTCTCTTAGGGTAGTCCCTGTTTCCCAGCCTCTCTAGTGGTATGGATTGTAGGCTGACAATCCCCTGATCCATATCTAAAATCCATATATAAGTGAGTACATACCATTTTTGTATTTGTGACTTGGGTTACCTCACTCAGAATGGTTTCTTCTAGTGCCATCCATTTGCCTTCGAATTTCAACATTCCATTGTTTTTTTGTTTGTTTGTTTGTTTTGTTTTGTTTTGTTTTTTCCCAATGAGTAGTACTCCATTGTGTAAATGTACCACATTATATATATTGATTCTTCAGTTGAGGGGCATCTAGGTTGCTTCCAGGTTCTGGCTATTACAAATAATGCTGCTATGAACATAGTTGATGACTATCTTATATGCCACCCTAGAGCTTTCATCCAGTGGCTGATGTAAGACAGAGGCAGAAGCAGACACCCACAGCTAAACACTGAACTGAACTCCTAGAATCCAGTTGCAAAGAGGGAGGAGTGAAGAGCAAAGGGGTCAAGACTAGGCTGGAGAAACCCACAGAAACAGCTGACCTGAACAAGGGGGAACTCATGCACCCCAGACTAATGGCTAGGAGGCCAGCATGGGACTGAACCAGACCCCCTGAATGTGGGTATCAGCAATTGCTGAGGAGGCCTCAGCAATATATGGGACTTCTGGTAGTAGATCAGTATTTATCCCTTGTTTATGAATGGACTTTGGGAGCCCAGTCCACAGAGGGATGTTCTTTCAGCTTGGACACATTGGGGAGGGCCTAGGCCCTGCCCTGGATGATATGACAGACTTTTGCAATCCCCCTTGGAGAGACTCATCCTCCCTGGATAGTGAGGGGGGACGGAGTGGAGGTTGGTGGAGGGCCAGGGAGGAGGGAAGGGAGAGGGAGCTGGGATTGACATGTGAAGCAGACTTGCTTCTAATTTAAATAAAAATAAAATAAAATTTAAAAAAAAGAATCCCTGGGATTACCTACCCTAAAACAATATTTAAAAAGGTATCGATTAATATGTTTTCTGTATGTTTCAAGACACATACATGTAAATCTACAATTTTCAATGCCTCAGATGTATCAGTTCGAAAACTGTGTTGATCAATTTAATATAGGATGTGTTTACAAGAACTTATAAAAAGTTTTTTTGTTATAGTAAAATGACTTCATTCATATTGTGGGAAAAAAAAGAAGTGAAACTGAGTTTTCCCGAAGGCAGAGCTACTCAGAACACAGATTGTATCCACCCATGTGAGGAAGCAAACACACTCAAAAATTCTCCAGCTCCCTGCCCAACCTCTGTGACCCTGAGTCTGGCACAAGCACAGCTTCTAGCAACAGTGTCAATTCCTATTCAACATCTTTCAGGTTGGTATCTGTTATGGGGAGCAAAGGGGTCTACTTGTGACATGATTCAAATTCTCTCTATTCTGATGATGCTGGTTGCTTCAAAGAATATTTCCTTTGGTGGCTACTTAACGACAAAGCCATGACTTCCAAGCAGTATGGGGTGTGTATTGACTGATAAGAAACCTCTGTGGCTTGGTTTTCAAGCAAAACACAGTCTAAATGGAGTCAGGTCTCTGCCTTCCCCATCCTAGTGTCACTCTGCCAAAGGACTTTGGTTCCAGGTTTTGACACTCGGAAAAAAAAAAGTGTTTTCAAGAGGATGAAATGAACACTTCATGACTGACTCTTAGGAGGTGCCTAGTAAATACAGACTAAGAGGCGGAGCCACGGCCTGCTCATCAACCTAAGATTTGATGGACAGTGGGTATGGAATTCCAAAAGAAAAAGAAGTGCATCTGAGTGAATTAGGGGACTATCCCCACTCCCAAACTATGACCAGACAAGAAACAAAAAAACATTCAGGGAACCAGAGATATGGCTCAGCTGCCAAATGTGCTGTGATGCAAGGCTAACAACCAGAGATCCACCCCAGAACCCATGGCAGAAGGAGGGAACCAACTCCCAAAAGTTGTCCTCTGACCTCCATACACACTGTGGTATGTCCAAGCCTGCACACAGACACATTTAAAATAAGAGCATTCACCATAGCCCATGGCAGATGAAAAGATCCAATAAATGCCATGGTCAGAGAAAGAACAACCAGAAACAAGTGGCATTAACCTTAATAATATATGTAATTCAATATATTAAAAATACTATGAATGCAAACATGTAACTGATATATGTTTTTATATAGTGAGGGTTGGGAATGTAGCATGAGGACCTGGATTTAATTCCAAGAATTATAAAAAAATACAAATAAATAAAAGAGGAATATATGCATATATATTTATCTTTATTCTACACTTCAGTGTATGTCAATCTTGACACTAACTCTTTATCTGAAACACTTAATCTGCATTTAGACATCTCAATTTTCATTCCTCAGTTGTGTCGTGTTCCAAAAACATTCCAACACTCACATCAAACATGAGTCTTTAAATTAAAATTGAACTGGGAAACAGAATCTAAAGGTCATCTGACACTACAAGGCAGTTCAAAACAAACCTAGGATGCATGGCTATCTCCAAGGGTTTTTTTTAATTGAATAAAACCTAAGGTTAGTTCCTTAGCCATCCTAACCATATCTCTACCTGACTAACACAGGCTGTTGACACAGCATAGACAGGAAGGCTAAGCTTGGTGCAGGCCAGTGAGGCATGATTTTAGAGACTTTGAGAGATAGTTCTCCATTGTGGTGCTGTAATTAAGCATCCACCTTCTTTATGAGACAGTATCTCACTGTCTGGCGCTCAGCTCGGGATCTTCCTATCTCTGTGTCCCCAGCACTGGGATTCCAGCCTATGGGTGGTGGGGCTCCATGCTTGAACAACCAACACTTTGCCAGCTGAACCATATCCCCAGCCCCAACCATTATCACTTTTTAATCTCAGGAGTTTAAAATGATGTTTCCATGCTGCTTTTGATTTTTACACTTTTTAATTATTGAAAGGAAATCAAGAGTAACCCTTGTGACATGTAAAAATAACATAAACCAAATGTCATATTCCTTTACTCATGTATTAATAGCCATATTTTTGTTTTTCTTCCTTTTCTAATAGTATTTTTTATTCTTTGACAGTTTATGCAATGACACAGCTAATTTCTGTTGTCAACTTGACATCCTTGAAAAGATGGAACCTCAGTTAAAGAACTGGTTCCATTGGACCAGCCTCTGGGAATATCTGTGGGACATTTTCTTGATTGCTAATTGACATGGAAGGACTCAGGCCACTGTGTGCAGTGCCTTTCCTGGGCAGGTGAGTCTAGGCTGTATAAGAAAGACAGCTGAGTGCTAGGAGATGGTGGCACACTCCTTTAATCCCAGCACTCAGGAGCCCAAGATAGGTTCCAAAGCTATACAGAGAAACCCTGTCTCAAAAAAAAAAAGAAGAAAGAAAGAAAGAAAGAAAGAAAGAAAGAAAGAAAGAAATTTAGTTTTCTATGTTTTATTGAGATTTTTTTTCCCAAGACAGGGTTTCTCTGTGGCTTTGGAGGCTGTCCTGGAACTAGCTCTTGTAGACCAGGCTGGTCTCGAACTCACAGAGATCCACCTGCCTCAGCCTCCCTAACTCTGGGATTACAAACACGTATTTGAATACTGTATGTTATGTAATCTTCTACACAGCTCCTGTATCAAGTCTTTCTGAAGCATTTAGCTTCACGTTTTGAAAAACAACCCTGTTTCACTGGTGCCATAATATTTAGTTGAATCATGTGATGCCATCAACTAGCTTATTCAGTATGGGGAATCCTTTAACTATTTTTAGAAGTATAGGATAGAGACATAAGGACATTAGCGTCTGAATGGCGGTTTCAAGTCATCGCTATTCAGACCTCAGCCTGTATGCTGTGCAAATGTAAAATAATTAGTAGTTGTAAGTCAGCACACAGGAAATCAAAACAAGGATCTCTTAGTATAGTCTATGCTTTTATACACTTTTCCTCCTGGACACCCTGTTATAAGAATGTAAGTGGCATGAAAGGATGACACACTTGTCACATATGCTATAGGCAGCTCCTGGCACAGAGCCTGGCTCACTGTGCACACCATTTATGCAGAGTAGGCATGAGACTCTGGAATCTCCAGGCTCCTTTGCTGGCAAGTCAGTGTCATCTACAGGGTGGTACAATGTGCGGCTTTTAGTTCCCCTTTCAAAGTGTCCAAAGAAAACTCTCACTTGGTGCTCTGTGCATGGGTCTCCTTCTGCAGGTGACGGTGTTCATTCTGCAAGCAAGGGTTTCGTCTTAAATGGAAATTCAAAGTGACTCACTAACCAGAGACAGGAAGCAAAGGTGGTAAAGGAAAGACATCCTCGGTGAGTTGCAGTGAACACAGAACTCTATAAATGACAGCTTCAACAAAACTCTGACTGGAGTTTTAGTGCCAGTCAACCAAGAACAATTTGAATAAATGGAAACAGAAGTGACAACTTGTGAAAAAGGATGCTGAAATATTGGTAGGGAGGGAGGGAGGAGACAAAAAACTTAGATTTGAATCTGCAGTATCTAGGGACGCCACTCAGTCGGACGCACATATCGTTCGGGTACATACATCAGAGGCACCACTACACCGTACCTTCAATGACTCCTCTACATTCACTCCCACTGCTTTTTCTGGAAACTGAATGTAGTGGCTACCGGTCAACCCCCCAGAAAAGAATCTACTCGGTGTCCACTTCTTCATTATGAGTCGTGAGCCTTCGTAATTCACCACTAGTTTCTGTTACACGTGTTTGTGCCCCTGATTGACAGAGCCTGGGTTCAGGGAGAGACAGAAATGAATACCTGATGTTTCTAGCTGCTCTGGTGATAAGCAAACAATGAGTCATCAAGTGAGGAAAACGAAACACAGAAAATAAGTCGCATGGTAGTTAGTTCAAAGAAAATGCCTTGGGTAGCAAAGAAGAGCTGGGGGTGATTTGTGACCCATGAGGCTGAGGTTCTCAGGGGCCCAGGTACCACATGTGGGCTGTCCCAGCCTTCTGCCCACCTCTGGTTATCTAGAAGCAGCTACAGAAATGGAGGCTCCAGGACAATGTACCCCCATTTAGTGTAGTCCAGATAAGCCAGGAAGACCATGACTGGAAGGAACGCACCACCTCTTAGGACTCCTCTTCTCCAGATTTACAGACTGCTCAGTCACAGGGGCACAACGTTATAATTGTCATCTTGGGTAATGCAGGTAACACTGCCCTTCTGTGTCAAGTTTCCACCAGTGTGCTTGTACACACTTCCACTACACCAGGAAGGAATGCAGAAGAGGTGCTAATCATACCACATGCTTCCCAACATGGGAGGATCAGAGGCTAAGAATTTCCTCTTTCTCACTGGAATACTTCCTGCACAAACACAGAGTTTGCAATTGTTGCAGACAGGGGTTTCTGTAATAGAGAAAAACAATACAGAAATTTGAGCCCACAGGGACCTAAGGAAAATTGGACTGCTAACTCACACAAATAAATAAGATGTTAAAGAATGCATGAGAGCAGCAGAAACATCCAGTTTTTGGAAATAACTTCTACTGAAGATCTCCAGAGGCATAGACAAGTATGCTGTGCTCTTACTAGCAAGAGTGATGCCAAGGACTGGCATGGATGGTGTCGTCACTGAAGAGAAGGTGACCTCAACTGACCTTTTCTCACAGACTTTGTACCAAGGAAGTGCCAAACATTAGTAGTTCAGTTTTCTTTTTGTAAAAACTAAAATCATGTTCTATAAGAAGGAAAAGGTAAGATAATTTATTTGAAACAAGGTGAAATCTCATTATACAATTTGCTTTCTCATTGGTCCCTCCCAGAGTACATTAAAGTTGTGGTTGGCATTTTTACCCCTAAGGAGTCCTCTCAAGACATTTCATAGTCTGTGTAAAGTAGAAAGAGACAGGAGACATTGGGAATTTTGGTGCTTGGCTGTCTGTGCGTCCCTTCACACCTCAAGTTGAATGTTCTGTCCATGCTCCTTCAAGTTAAAATACAAATCAGCAGATACTGTTTCCAATACTGAAAGATGCACTGCTATGAAAGTTAGTTTGCTTAAAGTTATTCATGTATTATGTATCTACCTCAAGTTCATGCTAACAGCTTCCATTCTTAAGAAAAGCAAAGAACACGAAAATTAGTAACAACTTTATTTATCGTCCTACTGTCATTGTGGATACGCACTGGCATTAAGTGTCATTGTGACTCTGTGTCCTCTGTGTTGTACTAGCCAGCTAACTCCTTCCACAATTACTGAGCTGCTCTTGGGAAATGGTGTGAGACTGTATGTATTTCTACTGCACAGTAACACATGGAAACACATAATGCGTTGTGGAATATCAGTCAGATGTATTGGCTTCAGATCACCATTGGAAGAATCGCAGCAGGAGTATCAGCTATTGTTTTTGTTAGTCCTTACTCCATTGAAATCACAGAATAAATTTTTAATTAGTCAATCACAAGAAAGTAGTGAGGAAAATGACTTGCTCACATAGGGGCCCACACAAGAGGCAAGGGAATCCCACGCCATCTAGATACAGATCCCAGTGCCTCACTCTTCTTCCACACTTTGGCCTCACTTCAGGCTGCTCACTTTAGAGGTGTGCAACAGAGACTAGAAGTTGGGGTGTGCTTTCATATCTAAAAGTCAGGACCACATGCTTCCTCTTCTTCATTTCTCATCCTTCTCTATTTCTTTTCCTCAATTGTCATAAAATTAACAACGCTAAAATGTGAGGTTTTTCAGTATAGGGATTACGTTAAAGTTCTCCAGAAACTTGTGTTAGTCTGTTACTAATAAAGCTGAAAGGGTTGTTTTGCCTCACAGTTTTGAAGATAGGCTCTGTGACTGGGTTTTCTTGCTGATTCTGCCTGGGCGTGACAGCAAATGGGGAAGAAGTGCAAAGAGGGACACAGCCACTCACTTCACGGCCTGGGTCTGAAATAGAGAAGAAGAAAACAGGGAATCCCAATGACCTAGCACCTCCTACTAGCCAACCGCCCCCTCCCCCCAAGTCCTAAAGGCTCCTGCACCTCTCCTTGGTGCTATGAGCCCAGAACTAAGCCCCTAACACATGGGCCTCTGTGGGGGGAGGGGTGGCATTCTAGATACAAGCACATGGCAGGTTGCACCACCAAGAGGAATGGATTTCTGAACTTGAACACAGTTCTTTATTTTACCTACTGAAAGGAAAAATGGGGATGGATAAAACTGAATGAAGAAAGCCTACATGACCATGGGGCATCAAGCAAACAAATAGTTCCTTTATATCAGTTCCAAGGGGAGAAGAAAAGGAGAGAGGCATAGAGAGTACATTTAACAAAATAGTTTTTGAAAGCTTCCCAAGTACCAGGAATGGTACTGGCAGCCAGATCCATGAAAATCTAAGAATACCTTTAGACTGAACCCAAGACCCTTTCCACCGCAAGTTATCATCAAGGAGTCAGAGAAAGAGAATTCCAAATGTAGAAAAAAAAAGTGCCAAATATATTGAAGAGAATCCTCATTAGACACTAGCAGATTTCTCAGTAGGAAGCTTGCAGGCCAGGAGATAATAGAATGATATAGTCAAGAGTGCATAACAAAATTCTAGCCAAGGACACCATTGCCCAACAAGCTGTCCTTCAGAAATGAAGTCTTTCTCAAAAAGCAAACACTGGGCCTGGGGAGACTGTTCCAAGCATAAGTGCTGGAGTTCAGACACTCAGAATCCATGTAACTGCCAGGATGCCATGGTGGCCCTTGCAATTCCAGCCTCAGAAGATGAAGACAGGGGATCCTCAGAGAAAGCTGGCTAGAGAGATTAGCCAGATCAATGCACTCTGGGTTTGATTGTGAGTGAGACTCTGCTTCCATGGTTAAGGTGGAAGAGTGAATCAAGAATGATTCTTGACACAAGCCTAGGGCCTTCAGGCACACACATATACACGTGCACCCCATACACACACACATGCCCCCAGTGCAAACATGTATATACACACATGCATACCACACATATTGGGAATGGGAAAAGAAAAGCAGAAAACAGAGGAAACCTGTCAACACTAGCCCAGCTGCTCTTGGCTGACTGTTTCACTAAGGCCAGGTAGATGGGCACTGAGAGACAGCGTCTATGTGAGATTCTTAGTAGGTGGGTGGGACTGGCCCTGATGAATACTGGGCTGGGATTGAGCATGTGCCAAGCCCATTTGCTTGGACAGTATGCTTAGGACAGTGGGAATAACGAAAGGAGGGCTCTCTGGGGGAATAAGCTGATATTTGGCTGACTGTCAGCCAGGTGCAGGTGCACAGAGGTCACTGGCTGTGTCTGCTTCAACTCTGAGCAGAACCAGGTGTGTCCCAGAGGATGAAGCATCCTGTGAGTGGAAGCCAGCAGGTTTTGGGGCTCTCTGTTGAGTCATGATGATACTACCAACCATGTGAACATGGTGGAATTGGCAGCTATGTCGTCTGGCTCTGGGGAAGGATGCATTCTTACAGGGTTCCAGCTTCAAGAAGGCATAGTAGCTTGGGTCACGGGGATCCTGGTCTGTGGCAATACAGATGTGAGACCACTCTCAAACTGTGTTCAGGGCCTGTGAGGAGTGTGTGAGTCTTCTCTGTAGCCAGCTTCAGGGGCAATGTTAGAAATAGCTAGCTTACTTATTCCTGATATGGAGTGTTGAAACAAGACTGAACCTGCTCAAAACCACTACAGACTGTATAAAGCAGCAGCTTTCAGGCCGTGTCTTCCCTTGGGTGACTTCATCTTATAAGCAGCATTTGGCTTCAGTCTGGGAAGAGGCAGGATGACTCTGCTCCTTGTCATAAACACAACAGTGTCTTCTTTTCATCACCACAGACTGACAACTTTTCCCAAAAGGGAAAAGTGTCACCTCTCAACTTCTCAAAATAGGTTGGGACCATGTGAACACATGGGTACATTAAAACCACATCAGAAAAAGTCAGCCTGGAGAACTTACTGAACATTGCAGTTCAAGGAACGAGGCAATACCCTCACTTGGACCCTAATATTGTGATACTGAAAATCCCCCACAAGCTATTATCTGGCTACCTGACATGCAGCATCTGGCAGAGAACCCTGATTGTCTCTGAAGCATCAGCTCATCTTGGTCCAGATTAATTACTGACTCATCCTACTCAAATGCCACCCATCTGTCATTTGTTCACTTGTCTAGACCAGGTACTATGACTCTCCTCCATAGTTGCTACTGGAAAGAAGAAATAAAACTGAAAGTGCCATCAAGCAGTTCAATTTTCCCTCTTGCTAAAGGGGAAGCTAAACAACCCCTGCCTCTACTTTGGAGCAGGCCCTCACCTGCGGGATATTTTCCCCACAAGGGATGTGAGAACAGAGTAATTTTGAAGGGCTGTTGTTCCAGACACCTTGCTGACTGGTGCCTTAAAAGCTTTTAGGTCAGTCCGGTTCCTGTTGGGGGAAGAGGGCTTGAGTAATTGGCCAGGAAGTGAAAGCACACAACCTGTTTGTGCCTCCATTATCTGGCTAATAGAGGTCACTGTGTCTGATTGGAGTCAGGTTAATTTTTCTGAGAGCAGTTCAAGGGGAACTCCAGATCAGTTGTTTTGTTCATCCTGGAACTATGTTTCTGGCCATTTTCATTGCAGGTGTGGTTACTATTCTGTTATTTTGTACTATAGGTGTCTTGCACTTTCTTGTCCCTCTTTTGGACTCTCTCTGACTTTTCAACAGTGCCAGTGTGATGTGGTCAGGTTCTGTAACTTCCATTGCTCTACAAGTAGTGACGTGAAGGTCTTACCTAGGGTCCACAAGTGATGACATCTCCATTGTCTGCAGAAAATTTCACTCAACAAAATCTCTAAGGAGAGCTGAAGATGTTGCTCAGTAGGTGGAGTGTTTATCCACCAAGCCCAAAGCCCAGGCTTGACCTCCAAGATTGCATAAGCCAGGACTGATGTCACTCAACTGTAATCCCATCCCTCAGGAGTCAGAAGCAGAAGGATCAAAACTTCACAGTCATCCTCAGCTACACAGTGAGTCTGAGGCCAGCCCGAGTTACACTGGACCCTGGTTCAATAAATAAGGAAATAAATTCTCTAAGGAGACTTTATAAGATGCTAACAATTCTAGGATTTTTTTTTTTTTAAGATCTATCCTCGGGGTATAGGGATAGAGTGCCTGCCTGTCATGGCTAAGTCCCTGAACTCAATTCCCAGCATGGAAAAAATAAACCTATCAACTTTACTTTTTCTCTCAAAGAAGACGGCTTCTTTGTGATCCATTTGACTGTGCTGGAGTCACCGGCCGTACTGGAGCTCTTGGTTGTCTCTTGTGTTTTGTTGTTGTCTGTACTTTTAGCTGGAGAAGATATTGAGATAGTGTTTATGTCCTGTTTGACTCAAGTTTCATTTAGAACATACTGAACAATATGACACAGTCATGAATTTCTTAGGCTGTACAGTCACCACTAACTGAATTTGATTCTGTGCTCTTTTTAACATCCTCTATGACTTCATTAGACTATAATTTTCTCATCTTTGATGTGAGAATAATATTAATATTTATGTCATACAAATTGTAGCAATGTTAATTATGACACTGAAGGAAACTGGCTAAACATGATGGCTGACAAAGCTTAGGGCTTGCTCACCGCTCACTACTTCATCAGGGCTAACTTACCCAGTTAGGCACAGAAAACCATGGATCTAAGGCTAATAAAACTTTTTGGGGTCTGTAGATATATTTTCATCTTCATTTCTCTTAAATTTAGAAGAAAATGAATGTGAAATGATAAGTGCACAGTAATTACTTCAGCCCAAATTATACTTCTCATTTAAGCACTGCAGTCATAAAATGTAATTGTTAATTTTTATTTGAAATAAGGGGCCTACAAAGCAATAGTGCTGGACCCTCAGAAAGCTACCACATGGCTCTGACTTTTAGCAGATGTAACTAAGGTAGTACCAGGAGATCTGACAACATGAGGGAGGTAAAAGCTAAATGTCAATGCTATAACTCAGTCGTTGCCTGACCCAGCTGTAGTGACTCCCTCCATGAAAGTTGTGGAAATAGACTTCTGTAACAAATGTGTGTGGCTTCTCTTCTCAACCTTCTCTGCCAAAAAAAAAAAAAAAAACACATCCGACCAGGTGGTGTGGCTCATGCCTTTAATTCCAGCATTAGGGAGGCAGAGGCAGGTGGATCTCAGTGAGTTCAAGGCCAGCCTGTTCTCCAGAGCAAGTTCCAGGACAGCCAAGGCTACACAGAGAAACTCTGTCTTGAAACAACAACAAGAGAGAGAGAGAGAGAGAGAGAGAGAGAGAGAGAGAGAGAGAGAGAGAGAGAGATGCATCCCCTTGAAAAGAATGTGACTTTCTATCCTATTTATTATTTATTTAAATTTTGTATGTCTATGTCTGTGTGTGTATGCTGTATGTGTGTGGCTGCCTTCAGAGACTTGAAGAGTGTATTGGAACCTCTGGAGGTGTAAGTAACAGGTATTTGTGAACCACCCAACATGGGTGCTGGAAGAAAGATCATGTCAAGTTGACAAAACTGCCACACTCAGTTACATTATAGAATTTAAGGCCAACCTGGACTACATAAGCTCCTACCTGAGGAAGCAAAACAGGAGGAGGAAAAAAAAAAGAGGGAAAGGAGGCAGAGAAAGAAGAAGCGGCAGGGGGTTGGGGGGAGGAGAGAGAGGCAGAAGCTGTAGTTGCTCTCTCCATGAAAATAGTGGAAGTAGGCTTCTGTAATAAATGTGTGTGGCTTTGTGCCACCACCACTATTCCACCAATGTTGGGTCAGGGTTGGTGGTGGGTGCAGCATGCAACAATGTGATAGGTCCATGGGTCCATCTTTTTATCTGCTCATTTCTTGTTCTGTGCCAGAGTGCCTTGGTCTGAGATAATGTTCTGGGGAATCCCTTTTTGGTAGACTAGCTG